ATTATATACATCCCATTATACATTGTATCATTATATACATCCCATTATACATTGTATCATTATATACATCCCATTATACATTGTATCATTATATACATCCCATTATACATTGTATCATTATATACATCCCATTATACATTGTATCATTATATACATCCCATTATACATTGTATCATTATATACATTCTATTATACATTGTATCTCTCTAACTCCTGGCATAGAGAAAAAAAAATGTTTGTAAAAAAAAAAAAAAAGATAAATAAATATTAAAAAATTAAAAAAAAATAAAGAAAAAATACCTATATCAAGGTTTGATCTAGTTCAGTGCCAGGGTTAGTGTTTGGGTCAAGGTCAGGGTCAAAGGTCAGGTTTTTTTAAAAAAAATTTGGTATCAGTGTTAGTGTCAGTCTGTGTTAGATAAAATAAAAAGACAAAACCGTAATGCGCACTATTGTTTCTGGGCTGTACTACAGGTACAAATAACATACACATATATGGTATCGGGTTAAGCAACCCATCACAGCCATTTTCTGAACTGCATGGGGAGCGCAGCCTCTCGTCACGTGATTCCGCAAGCTCGATAGCCAAAGTAGCATTTGCAGCATATCCATAAAGCGTGACTGGACGATGAAATTAACTTTTTTTTTTAAAATTACGCTTTTTTTTTTTTTAACTCTTAGCCATGGCATTCAGTTTTTTTTAGAAAAGCGGAGTTCTGCTGTAATGAGTTGTACAGAACATGGCGCACCAATCACGGCACAGCATTTGTAATGTGGTGTCATCACACAACCCACCAGACGGTGGCAGCACGCCTCTCACACTGCGCCATGTTCCCCTGCTCATAGATGTACATGTCAGATTCGTCCCCCAGCAGGACCTCGGCCCCTCTCCTCCGACAATGACTCATCACTGAAACAAGACACAAGTCAGAACGGACAGAAAATTTCCGCCTCTCCTCTCAGTGTTTAACAAGCTGGATGGTTGGACTGTTTTATTGGGATCCTGTTCACGCTTGTGCGGTTGAATGCAGCGCGCGGCGCCATGGAAACAGGAAAAAGTCATTCCTTCTTCGCCTCAGAGCTCCGGGGGCAGGACCAGGGGCGGACTGACCATTTGGAAACTCGGGCACTGTAGGGGGCCCCACGAGATGCCCCTGGTCTTTGGCTCGGCCTTTTGGCTAAGATCAAGTGTAGTATCTGTTCTTATCAGTGTCCAGTGGGGGCGCTCCACCATCATTCTAGCTTTGCGGGGATGATTGGTTGTATAGTACCCCTGCTGGTAGGATGGGGGTCCTGATGGTTAGTACAGGCTGGAACAGAATTTGAGGCGCCCACAGGCTGCTGGGGCCCGGGAGTAATTCCCCCTGGAAAACCGGAAGGGCCCAGTTCCTCCTGATTTGAGCGGATCTACCTTGTCTGGCCGGGGGCCGGGAAGGCAGAAAGTCCGCGAACCAGCAGTGTCCCCTGAGAGTGGTGGGCTCAGGGGTGCTCTTAGTAACAGTTGGGTGTGGGACCCCAACGTGTGAAAAGGCACATGGTCACTGTGTTCAAACACTTTTCTTGCACTGCGCCTCTTGGACCGGGCCTTTTGGCTAAGTTCTGGGCAATTTTTGCTACGGGCCTCAGGGCCTGGCCAGTCCACAATCTGCACGGCCACTTATTTATTTAAGTTATTTTTTCTCCCACGTTTGTCACTTTCACTCTTATGTGTGTGTTTTATTTCCTCACAGGATGGAGGGTGTGGGTCCTCGGGCCTACCCTGAAGTCTAGGGGGAGGATGTGCGGCCTTTTGGTTCCTTCCTCCCCTGTCCCTAGGGGGTTTTCTTTTCGGGAGAGCCCCCTGACCAAGTACTGAGTGGCTGGCTTCAGGTGGCCACAAGGAATGGTGTCCGCCAGGCCTTTTGGCTAGGTGGACCAAATGGGAACCTTGTCCCTGTCAGGAGCTTCGTGCCCCGGGGGATCAGGGTAGAGATCCATCCCCTTCGGGGGAAGGACAAAGCACACCCCTAAGTGCACTTTTTTGTGTGGTGTTTTGCACAAGCACGTTTTTTGTGAACACTTACGGTTTTTCGTTTTTCGCACGTTCGCGAACTTAAAAAAAAACAACTGGTGCTAATGCTCACTTCTTGGACTTTTGGCTAAGGGATCAAGTGTAGTGTCTGTTCTTATCAGTGTCCAGTAGGGGCGCTCCGCCATCATTTTTGCTTCTTGGTGAGGATGGTTGGCTGTATAGTACCCCTGCTGATAAAGGGGCTCTGAAGCTTAGTACTGGTTGGAACAGAAACCGTGGAGCCCATGGGTGGTCACTGCTCCAAAACACTTCTTCTGCACTGCGCCTTCTAGGGCTAGGCCTTTTGACTAAGTCCAGGGCAATTTTTATACTACGGGCCTCAGGGCCTAGCCCGGGTGTCGGCAACCCGCGGCTCCAGAGCCGCATGCGGCTCTTTTTCACCTTTGCTGCGGTTCCGGAGCACACTGCCCACCAGGTGACAGGCAATAGGGTTGCCGTAGCTCAGTGGTCGGCAAGCCGCGGCTCTTTACACACTCTAATGCGGCTCTTCTGTGTGCCGGGCGCCCGCTCCCCTCCCTCCTCTCGGGCAGCCGCCCCAAAAGTCAGGACTCTGCAGCTAGCCCAGCAATGGGCAAACTACGGCCCGGCGAACCTTTTAATCCGGCCCGCGGAGCGTGGCAAACATTGGCTGTCAGGATGTAGGCGGGGCAGCGTGACGAACTCCTCTCCTCTCACAGTCCGCCCTGAAGACCAGAACGGCGCGGGAACACGGCGAGAGGAACGTGCAGAGCAAAGGTAAGTGAATTGACACAATATGGGGAATGAATTACTATATGGGGGATGAATTACTATATGGGGGATGAATTACTATATGGGGGATGAATTACTATGGGGGATGAATTACTATATGGGGGATGAATTACTATATGGGGGATGAATTACTATGGGATGAATTACTATATGGGGGGGTGAATTACTATGGGGGATGAATTACTATATGGGGGATGAATTACTATATGGGGGATGAATTACTATAGGGGATGAATTACTATATGGGGGATGAATTACTATATGGGGGATGAATTACTATGGGGGATGAATTACTATATGGGGGATGAATTACTATATGGGGGATTAATTACTATGGGGGATGAATTACTATAGGGGATGAATTACTATATGGGGGATGAATTACTATATGGGGGATGAATTACTATGGGGGATGAATTACTATATGGGGGATGAATTACTATGGGGGATGAATTACTATGGGGGATGAATTACTATATGGGGGATGAATTAATATGGGGGATGAATTAATATGGGGGATGAATTACTATGGGGGATGAATTACTATATGGGGAATGAATTACTATGGGGGATGAATTACTATATGGGGGATGAATTACTATGGGGGATGAATTACTATGGGGGATGAATTACTATATGGGGGATGAATTACTATATGGGGGATGTATTTTCAGTTTTAAAAATGTGGCTCTCAAAATAAATTTCAATCGTGGTTTTGGCGAGATTTGGCTCAGTTGAAAAAAAAGGTTGCCCACCACTGACCTAAGGCTATGATTGTGATTATGACGATACACTGTGGCCCTGATTAACCCTTTGCTTACTGGGCCCTTAAACCCCCTTCATGACCAGAGCGCTTTTTGCAATATATGCAGTGTCGGATTTGTTTTAAATGTTGCAATGGTTTTGCGGCTCCCAGTCTTTTTTTCCCTTCAGAAATGGGTCCAAGTGGCTCTTTATGTCTTAAAGGTTGCAGACCCCTGACCTAGCCAGTGCACAATTGCACGGCCACTTTTTATTTGTATCTATTTTTTTTTTCCCACATTTGAGTCACTTTCACATATGTGTGTTTTTTAGGGTGTGGGTCTAGGGGGAGGAGGATATGTGGCCTTTTGGTTCCTTCGTGGGTCTCTCTTCGGGAGAGCTCCCTGACATAGGCCTTTTGGCTAGGTGGACCATGTGGAATCATCAGTCTCTGTCAGGAGCCTCGTGCCCAGGGGGATCAGGGTAGAGGTCCAACCCCTTTGGGGGGGGGTTGACAAAAGCACATCCCTAGGTGAACTTTTTTGTCCTTATGGAAAGACCTCCACCATGGACTTTCCACACTCCCACTACTTCCAGCGATTGGAAGGGAGACCATGAGCTTCTCTGCTCTATTATGGAAGTTGCTACTCACCTAATACTAGTATTTTTTGTTTCTATGTTGCTCCATGTTTTTATCCCATGGGCCCTCCCTGCGAGGATGCATGGACCCCTCAAATTTTTTTACTACCTACATTTTATTTTTAAAAAATGCTCATAAACAGATTCTTTCATTTCATATTTCCAGCTCATAGACTGATGTTGAAGAAAAAAATGATCATGGGCCAATTAAAATAGTAAAAGGTTTGGAAGTTCTGAAATATTTGTGACTGTGTGTAGACAATAATAAAGGAGTTCCAGAGCAGTATGGGTTAGCCTAAGACACTGCACAAGAGCAGTAGCAGCCTGCTTTGAGGGTGGCTTTGTCTGGCTGAAACCTCCAATAAAGCCCCAGATAAGGGAGAAGTCACTTGTGTTGAGGTACTGAGCTCTGTAAACAAGAGATTGCGAAAGCCATTGAAATATGTGAAATGCAGTGGAGAGCTCCACCTCCTGGCTGTAAGTAAAAACACAAAATAATACATCTGCAAAATGTTACCTGACTAAGCATAATAAAATAAATAAATACAAAACTATTATTTGTTGTTTAAAAAATGCTAAAAATTCTCAGGTCTGCTCTTTTATGGAATTTTCTGACTTAATTCTGTAATTTGCCTGAAGCTCTCCTTTAGGATTTAACTGGGGAGACTCGTGTGATTTGTTTTTGCCTCTTTACATCTTCCAGCTGCTGCATTGTAACAGTTGTCTGCCATGAAACACGCAGACGTCTAACGCAGCGACCCGACATTGGAGCCTGCGGTCTGCATCTGTACACGATTACCTGCCGTCAGATTGGCCATTGTGCCGGTGCACATGAAGAGCGCGTCCTGCATTCCGAACAGTTGGGCGGCCTGGCGCTGAATCTCTGAAAGTAATAAAAAATATACATTATTTCTCCAATAAAAGGACCTGGAAGGCCAACATGACGTTCAGCAGGGGTCTTCAAACTATGGCTCGTGGGCCCCATCCGGCCCTCAACAACTGTCCGAGAACATATCCCAGCTGGTTGCCAGTGGTCCATGTACTTTGATGAGGACTGGCACATCCATTGCCAGCCAGGGGGGACTTGGATCTAAGGGGGAATTCTTGGGAGTCCTCCTGGGGGCCCTCCTGCACAGGGCTGGGACAAGGGGTGGGTAGGAGGGGCGGCCACCATGGGCTCTGTGTTTTTTTTTGCAGGGATGGGGGCACCTTGTGCCGAGATCACTCTGTTACAAGGCTGACAGGAGTAGTGACAGCGGCATCACTCTTGTCAGTTCAACACTGGGAGCTGCAAAGAGAGAGCCAGGAGGAGGAGGAGGAGGAGGAGGAGGAGGTGCGGGTTCTGCACCCCTTTAAGCTCGCACACAATGAACGTGGGGGAGGGGGGGCACAGTTTGGAATCTTTTCCCTGGGCACGGGATAATCTTGCCCAGCACTGTTCCTCTCCTGGATTGACAGAGGGAATCTGATGGGCCCTCCTGGATCCAAGAGGGGGGACTCTGATGGGTCCTCCTGGATGAAGAGGGGGGGACTCTGATGGGCCCTCCTGGATCTAAAGAAGGTGGGCTATGATGAGCCCTACTGGATCCAAGAGGGGGGACTCTGATGGGCCCTCCTGGATCTAAAGAAGGGGGGCTATGATGGGCCTTCCTGGATCTAAAGAAGGACCCTGATGGGCCCTCCTGGATCTGAGGGGGGACTCTGATGGGCCCCCCTGAATTTGGGGGGCTAGTCTGATGGGCCCTCCGGGATCTAAAAAGGGGCCCTGATGGGCCTGAGGGGGGGTTTGCAGAGTCTGATGGGCCCTCCTGGATCCAAGAGGGGGGACTCTGATGGGCCCTCCTGGATCCAAGAGGGGAGACTCTGATGGGCCCTCCTGGATCTAAAGAAGGGGGGCTATGATGGGCCCTACTGGATCCAAGAGGGGGGACTCTGATGGGCCCTCCTGGATCTAAAGAAGGGGGGCTATGATGGGCCCTCCTAGATCTGAGGGGGGACTCTGATGGGCCCCCCTGAATTTGGTGGGCTAGTCTGATGGGCCCTCCGGGATCTAAAAAGAGGCCCTGATGGGCCCGAGGGGGGTGTCGCAGAGTCTGATGGGCCCTCCTGGATTTAAGAGGGGGATTCTGATGGGCCTTCCTGGATCTAAGGGGGGGGGACTCTGATGGGCCTTCCTAGAGCTAAGTTGGGACTTAGATGGGCCATCCTGGTTCTAAAGGGAGAGTCTGGTAGGGGGTAACTCTGGTGGGCCCTCCTTGGGGGGGGGGGGAACTCTGACCCTCCTGAATGTAAGGGGAGACTTTACTGATAAACCTGATTTTTTCCAGCCTGTGAATATTTGTAAAACAATGTGGCCCTCGTCCTGGAAAGTTTGGAGACCCCACCACCACTGGTGAGCTGTACGCATTGAACATCTGTATATAATCATCTAGATTGATTTTTGGACCGTGACTGAGCATGCTCACTCACACATGTGGAGACACCATCCAATCATACACTTGGTTTTCTGCAAGGCTCCTATTTATTGGCTGCTGTCAGTGAAATAATAAAGTTCAATACATTTGAATTGATAACATTACAGAATCTTGATTCCTCGGGGGCGGGCGGTAATTAACTCACGGTTCATGGTGGGATCTTCTCCATACACATCGTCCCCAACTTCCGCCTCGGCCATCGCTCTTCTCATCTCAGCACAGGGCTTGGTGACGGTGTCACTGCGGAGGTCCACCACTGCGGCCGGGCCGCCTCTCTGCTCCGTTCTGGTGGGTGTACATGGTGCGGATGGATGTGGCTGGCGCTGGGTGGGGCAGAGCGGGGGTGGAGCTTGGCACTGGTCTTCGCCCCTGAGGAGGATGGAATCCCAAAATTTGTTCAAGCTAGGAGGAAAAAAAAATCATTGAAGTCTTTCACTGCACTGACACAACCCACTGATATGATGCATTACCACGATGCACTGACACCGTGCACTGACACCATGCACTGACACAATGCACTGATACCATACACTGACTCAATGCACTGATACCATACACTGACACAATGCACTGAACCATGCACTGACACCGTGCACTGATACCATGCACTGACCATGCACTGACACAATGCACTGACACATTGCACTGACACCATACGCTGACACCATACGCTGACACCATGCACTGATACCATACGCTGACACAATGCACTGATACCATACACTGACACCATGCACTGATACCATACGCTGACACAATGCATTGATACCATACTCTGACACAATGCACTGACACCGTACGCTGACACAATGCACTGATACCATGCACTGACACCATGCACTGATACCATACGCTGACACAATGCACTGATACAATGCACTGATACCATACGCTGACACAAATGCACTGATACCATGCGCTAACACAATGCACTGACACCATGCACTGACACCATGCACTGACACCATGCACTGACTGATATAACACGCTGATTCCATGTGCTGATACAAGGCACTGATACAATACATTGATACAAAGTGCTGACGCAATGACTGATACAACACACTGATACCATCTATGTGCTGGTACGATACACTGATATGATGCACTGATACCACAGACTGATACAACACATTAACACAACCCACTGATACTATGCACTGATACAACGCATTTTATAGTGCACTGAAACAACACGTTGCCAGAATACACTGGTACAATATGATGCACTGATACCACACACTGATACAAAGACACATTGTACTGATACAACCCATTAATAAAAAGCACAGATATGACGCACTGATACAACGCACAGATACGATGCACTGATAAAATGCACAGATATGATGCACTGATACAACACACAGATACGATGCACAGACACCATGCACTGATATGATATCCCTTTTTTTTCCTTTAAACTGTAATGTCCATCTAATACGGGTGTCATTGACTAAAAGTGCGACGTGCCAACGTATCCCCTCAGTGCACGTCGGCAGTGATTGTTTTCTGTGCTTGTGTTGCGTCAGTGTTGATGAGACCCCTAGATAGGAGACCACCCTAGGTAGGAGCCCCACCAGAGAGACCACACTAGATAGGAGCCCCGCCAGAGAGACCACCCTAGATAGGAGCCCCGCCACAGAGACCACCCTAGCAGGAGCCCCGCCAGAGAGACCACCCTAGATAGGAGCTCCGCCATACAGACCACCCTAGATAGGAGCTCTGCCAGAGAGACCACCCTAGATAGGAGCCCCGCCAGAGAGACCACCCTAGATAGGAGCCCCGCCACAGAGACCACCCTAGCAGGAGCCCCGCCAGAGAGACCACCCTAGATAGGAGCTCCGCCATACAGACCACCCTAGATAGGAGCTCTGCCAGAGAGACCCACCCTAGATAGGAGCCCCGCCAGAGAGACCACCCTAGACAGGAGCCCCGCCAGAGAGACCACCCTAGATAGGAGCTCCACCATACAGACCACCCTAGACAGGAGCCCCGCCAGAGAGACCACCCTAGATAGGAGCTCCGCCACAGAGACCACACTAGACAGGAGCCCCCCCAGAGAGACCACCCTAGATAGGAGCCCCGCCATACAGACCACCCTAGATAGGAGCTCCGCCAGAGAGACCACCCTAGACAGGAGCCCCACCATACAGACCACTTTAGATAGGGACCCCGCCAGAGAGACCAACCTAGATAGGAGCCCCACCAGAGAGACCACCCTAGACAGGAGCCCCGCCATACAGACCACCCTAGACAGTAGCCCCATCATAGAGACCACCCTAGATAGGAGCCCCACCATAGAGACCACCCTAGATAGGAGCCCCGCCAGAGAGACCACCCCTAGATAGGAGCCCCGCCAGAGAGACCACCCTAGATAGGAGCCCCGCCACAGAGACCACCCTAGACAGGAGCCCCGCCAGAGAGACCACCCTAGATAGGAGCCCCGCCATACAGACCACCCTAGATAGGAGCTCCGCCATACAGACCACCCTAGATAGGAGCTCCACCAGAGAGACCACCCTAGACAGGAGCCCCGCCATACAGACCACCCTAGATAGGAACCCCACCAGAGAGACCACCCTAGATAGGAGCCCCGCCAGAGAGACCACCCTAGACAGGAGCCCCGCCATACAGACCACCCTAGATAGGAGCCCCACCATAGAGACCACCCTAGATAGGAGCCCTGCCAGAGAGATCACCCTAGATAGAAGCCCCGCCACAGACACCACCCTAGATAGAAGCCCCGCCATAGAGACCACCCTAGTAGGAGCCCCACCAGAGAGACCACCCTAGACAGGAGCCCCGCCATACAGACCACCCTAGACAGTAGCCCCGCCATAGAGACCACTCTAGATAGGAGCCCCACCATAGAGACCACCCTAGATAGGAGCCCCACCATAGAGACCACCCTAGATAGGAGCCCTGCCAGAGAGATCACCCTAGATAGAAGCCCCGCCATAGAGACCACCCTAGTAGGAGCCCTGCTAGAGAGACCACCCTAGATAGGAGCTCCGCCATACAGACTACCCTAGACAGGAGCCCCGCCAGAGAGACCACCCTAGATAGGAGCTCCGCCACAGAGACCACCCTAGACAGGAACCCCGCCAGAGAGACCACCCTAGTAGGAGCCGCACCAGAGAGACCACCCTAGATAGGAACCCCACCAGAGAGGCCACCCTAGATAGGAACCCCGCCAGAGAGGCCACCCTAGATAGGAGCCCTGCCAGAGAGGCCACCCTAGATAGGAACCCCGCCAGAGAGAGGCCACCCTAGATAGGAGCCCCGCCAGAGAGGCCACCCTAGATAGGAGCCCTGCCTGAGAGGCCACCCTAGATAGGAACCCCGCCAGAGAGGCCACCCTAGATAGGAACCCCGCCAGAGAGGCCACCCTAGATAGGAGCCCTGCCAGAGAGGCCACCCTAGATAGGAACCCCGCCAGAGAGGCCACCCTAGATAGGAGCCCTGCCAGAGAGGCCACCCTAGATAGGAACCCCCCGCCAGAGAGGCCACCCTAGATAGGAGCCCCGCCAGAGAGGCCACCCTAGATAGGAGCCCCGCCAGAGAGACCACCCTAGATAGGAGCCCTGCCAGAGAGACCACCCTAGACAGAAGCCCCGCCAGAGAGACCACCCTAGACAGAAGCCCCGCCATACAGACCACCTCCCAGAGTTACAGTTTTACTATTCAAAGGATAAAAGAAAGATAAAAAGTTGCAGTGCGATCGGACAGATCCGGGGAAAAGAGCGACATTTCCCGGGAGCGATGCGACAGTCAGACAATTCCTAGAAATCCATACGCAGCCGCAACACATCATGATAGAAAACATTGGAAGAGAAAAGAATAGAATAGAATAGAATCTGCTACACGATACCCAGCATCACCTACACAGCGTGGCCTCCCTGACGCGGCTCTCCTCAGTACTGCTGACATTTATAAAAAAAACAGGAATACTTGGATTCTGAACACTCCGAGCCGCAGGGCATTGTGGGCCACTGAGGACTTTGAACCATTTCCCAGCATGCACAGGGGTGACCTGCACTGCTGAGAGTTCTAGGAAGAGAAGGGGGGTGAACCAGGGATGGGGGGAGGGGTGAAGCAGAGCTGCAGCTAAATCGACCTCTCAGTCTATATATAATCGTCCCAACAAAATGGGTGCAGATGTTGCCGCCACTCAGAGCCGCGTCATCTACGTTTACGGGATGAGCCATTCCTTGTACCGGCAGACAATTCCCCTAGCTTCACACCTATGCAAGTTGTGTTTGATGCGTTTTGCGTTTGCGTTTTTTTTTTTTTTCATTTTTATTTTCTTCGCTTAGAAGTAGAAGTAGCGTAGAAGGGCCGGAGCCCCTGTCAGGTGTTTGCTTAGGGTCATGCACAGGATGTGTCACGGGGACCACAGCCAGGGATGGGAAACCCGACATTTCACAGTTGTCACCACCGGCAGGAAATCATCCAACGCTGACGTTTGTTTCGGTGACAACCGAGTGGGTATTTTTGCATCTCACTTCCTGCTGTTTCTCTAGGACAGGAAGTAGAGGGAAATCTCCCCAGTAGAGTGAAATCTCCCCAGCAGAAGGGAATCTCTCCAGTAAAAGGAAATCTCCCCAGTAGAGGGAAATATCTTCAGTAGAAGGAAATCTTCCCAGTAGAAGGAAATCTATCCAGTAGAAGAAAATCTCTCCAGTAGAAGGAAATCTTCCCAGTAGAGGGAAATCTCTCTAGTAGAGGGGAATCTCCCCAGTAGAAGGAAATCTTCCCAGTAGAGGGAAATCTCTCCAGTAGAAGGAAATCTCTCCAGTAGAAGGAAATCTTCCCAGTAGAGGGAAATCTATCCAGTAGAAGGAAATCTTCCCAGTAGAGGGGAATCTCCCCAGTAGAAGGAAATCTTCCCAGTAGAGGGAAATCTCCCCAGTAGAAGGAAATCTTCCCAGTAGAGGGGGAATCTCCCCAGTAGAAGGAAATCTTCCCAGTAGAAGGAAATCTCTCCAGTAGAAGGAAATCTGCCCAGTAGAGGGAAATCTCTTCAGTAGAAGGAAATCTCTCCAGTAGAAGGAAATCTTCCCAGTAGAGGGAAATCTCTCCAGTAGAGGAAATCTCTCCAGTAAAAGGAAATCTCCCCAGTAGAAGGAAATCTCTCCAGTAGAAGGAAATCTCCCCAGTAGAAGGAAATGTCTCCAGTAGAAGGAAATCTGTCCAGTAGAGAGAAATCTCTCCAGTAGAAGGAAATCCCTCCAGTAGAGGGAAATCTCCCCAGTAGAAGGAAATGTCTCCAGTAGAAGGAAATCTGTCCAGTAGAG